GATGGTGCGGGAGGTGTCGAAAACCGATTAACGATCGGAGATGAATTTAAGATTTTCTCGGCGGTAGTGCTAAAAAACGTCGAGACTTTGACTCGAAATTCACGTCGTTTGGCAGCATTTCGCTATAATTGATTTACTGGGTTTTGTTCACGGGTCGAAGATGAACACGATGGTGGTTTCAATTTGACGGTCGGAGGTCGGACGGCGTTGGAATCAGGCTTTGAAATATAGTGCGGGAGGAGGAATTTCACAATTGTTTTCTGTTTTGAAAACAGAAAACCATACATACGTATATATCAAATTTCCTGCCGACACTAAAAGGAGTAATTCAGAGTTTGGTCCATAAATTTACTTCACTTCTAATATTGCCTACAAGTTTTGAAAACTTTTAATTTAATCCTCAAATTTCACTAAATTACATCGATTTAAATTGTTTTTTTTCGGGTTGTTACAAGGCTCTGATTACCATTTAAATGATATCTATATTTGATAATCGTAATATTTACAAGTGATGAGTATATATAAGATTACAAGGAAATCTAATTATACAAAGATAAGGAAAGTCAAAGGTTTACAAGGTAAAATTGGATTGAATAACATTAAATTAAAAGATTAGGTTGGATAGTCTAATTTAACTTTATCTTTAATACTTTATGATTACAAACAACGCCAAAATGAATTAATTAACCTCGAGAAACGTTTTTTATTGGCTAATCCCCTATTTAATGCCGCTTTTAAGCACTAAACTTAACACCTCCCATGGTCATATCGACAACAGTTCAAAGATTAATATACTAAAACAATCCTTCAAAACTGTCGGTCAACAGTACAAAGGTTATTTCAATGATTCATTTAAATTTTCTTTTAATAATTTTGAAAGAATTGGTTTTGTCATACATGAACCATGCACATGTAAAATGGAATTTTTTACATATAAAAACAATAATAGAAAGACGAAAATAATTAAAAAAACATAAACTTTAGGAATTGTTTTATTATTTTTTGAAATTTTATTTATAGTAATTGCCACGCATTATTGTTGTACCTACCATAAGAAGTTTGTAACAAAATTTTTATGCCCTGAATATGAATGCTGAATTGGCATTCAAGTATTGAGCTAAATGTCCCATTTCAGTGGACCAAAGGAAAGGAGTATAAAATTCATTGCCTCTAAGATAATAAGAAAATAAAATTGATAAAAACAAAAGGTTGTTTTATTAAAATTATAAAATTATTTTTGGCCATAAAAAATTAATTGGAAAAAAAGTACAAAAATACCTTAAATGATATACACCCTGTTTAAAGTACCAAGGACAGAATTTGATGTATACCGATTGAAAATTAACATAGAAAAAAAATTAAAAAGTACAAGTATTATTCACTCTTTTTTTAAAATGTATATGTTTTATCTACTCACGTGTAAATGCGTCACGAGTTAGTGAATTAAAAAGTATTTACGATATCTGTAGAATTAAACAGAGGATAATACTGTCTTTGCAAAGTGGTGGTGTCCCATCTACAAATTAAAATGCACAGCAAAAAGAGCGGGAGGGGGGGGGGGAAGATAAAAAAGTAAAGTGAAAAAGCAAAGGTTATAGGGACTTTGCATGTCCCCAACAAATACGAAAGCTGGGTCGGTGGCTGCCGACTTTATAAAATAAGATACATATTTATTTATTTTCATTATATAAATACAATAAAGTGATTATGCCAAAACACGAATATAATAAAAGTATTAAAAATTTGATATAAAATTACTTGAAAACACAAATGTTGTAATTATATAATTTTTAACATAGTATTTTTATGATAAATTATGTATTTAATCACACACATGTTATTTAAATTATGTCTTAATTATTTAACTATTATTTAAAAAATATTTTGATCATCTACTACTAAAAATTAACGGTAATGTTGATGTGTTACTATAATGTAATATCATACCAGTATTAGAAAATAAAATAAAAATATCATGTCGAAATTACCGTAAAAAATAACAATGAATAACCAAATAGAGCTAAAACATAACGTCAGGTGTAATTGTTTTTTAAATATAATAGTTGGAAGACCAACCCAATAACTAAGTAATAAGTGGGTGGCCAAATATATAATTTATCCTTATTTTTTTAATATAAAAATTATTTTAACAAAATTAAGAAATTGTACACTTGAAATTATTTATTTATTTGATAAATCTGGTATTATATGTTCACGGATTTTTAATTTTTTGACAATGAACATTTATATTCATGCATACAAATTGTTAAACTTTAAGAAAAAAGATAACAACAAATATTTTAATCACTAAAGTAACTTAATTCATGTTAGAATTTAAAAATATTTAAACATATAACAAATAGTGCTATATTTATAATTAATATAAAACGAAATAGTTAAACTTATAGCCATGGATTCTAGACTTTTTTATTGTTTTAATTTTTTAAAAATACACATTAAATCATTTGTCCCTTTATATTTCTGAAATTTCTTCTCCTTCATTTTACGTTATTGCATAATAAACTTCCGATTGTTATCCTTGTAATAACAATAATTTATGAAATGCAATTATGGAAATCAACAATTCAACATCTAAATTGTTATGATTGTGAATAATAATTGAATTAATGTCACCATCTTTTCTCATCAATCACTAAGTAACTATCAATCAATGAATCAAACCAACCCAGCAAACGCATTAAAGCAAAATTCCAAAATGGAAATAAAAACATGTTATTATTTATATAATTAAATGTATGTATTTAAATATACTTACATTTGATTTAAAAATTTTAAATTGTTCAAATATTTATGTAAAAAATATATTTTAAGGTAGCTAGTTAGTTGACAACTCTTCTTTTGTATATATTAATAATATTGTAATTCAATAGTCTTAAGTTGTACACTACAGTGAAGATATTTATCTGTTGATTTTTTTTAACAATTCAAACATAAGAGTTTATTTTTTATGTATTTTTTAAAAACATTTACCATATTACTTTTGTTCATAAAATAAAAAATTCACACCATAATTAAATATCTCACCTTAGGGCTTAGGCTTCAACTTAAAGTAGTAAAGTAGTAAAGTAGACAGTAGGCAGTGGCCACAGGGATTTAATGGCAACCAAAGCGGATATAAACATATTTTGCTGAGCATAACATCATCTTTCATACTATGGTCTAATTTTTTATTTTACTTTTTGTATATTTTTTTATTTATTATTCTATTTCTAGTGAGAATTAAACCGTAATTTAAAAGTAATGTTATATTAAGTTACGAAAGTTTAATGAAATAAGCGTCACTGTAACATAAATAATATTAATATAATAATTAGACAAAAATGGACATCGTCGTCCATTTACGTTTGAAATAATCCCCTGAAACCCAACGCAAAAGCTAAAGTTTTATTATTCTGTCTTCTCAGATCTGTTTTATGATACCGGCACTGAAAAGGAAATGATGTATAATAATAATAATAATACATACATACAGTATCTACAATTATCATCTGTTGTTCAATTGCCTCTCTTTCTGTTTCAGGTGAAAATTTGGTAAAATATATAAAAAACCATTATAAAAATTATTAATTATCATATAAACATTGGCTTGTACCACGTTGTGATATATTGTGATATAAAATAATAACAATGTTACATTACACCCTTCAAAATTATTAATTAAAATAAAATTGATGGTTTTTTTATCTTCATTTATTTACAAATTTTAAATTTTTTAATAATAATTTTTAAAATTTTAAATTAGATTATTATTTTATTTAAATCAACATTAATTATCGTTTATATCGCAGCATATTATTATTTATATTACAATCTTAATAATGATTTTCTTAGTAGAAGACTGATTAGTGTATATTCGATAGTTTGAGGATAAATTTTGAAAGTTTTCAAAACTAATTTAGAATGAGAATCATAGTTAGAGGATAGAATTTTAATGTTTAAAAGTTTATAGACTCGTTTAGAAGAAAATTTATAATTTAAAAATAAAAATAAAATATTTAAAAATTTGGAGACCAACAAAAAGCAAAGTTTAGAGATATGTAATAAAAGTAACTCTAACTATTGAGATAATTTTCATCTAATGGTTGATTATTGAGATGATTATTTAGATATAATGTTATTTATATTTTTAATTATAATTGTAATTATAATTTTATTATTTTAAATAATAACTTTTTTACTTTTTATTATTATTTTGATAAATCATAATATATTTTAGGGTAAACAACAACATTGATCACTTTTGTTTAAGTTTTGCACATTTTTTTCACTGAATCCAAAAAATATTTGGTCAATTTCGTTTTTATTTAATTAAGATTTAGTCACTTTTGAATGATAACAATAAATTAGGAAGTTTTTTTTGAATAAATTAGATACAAAATCATTGTTCGATGATCTATTTGATGTTTTAGTGACAATTTGTTATTTTTGAAACTTCAATGGAAAAATAAAAAACTTACTCAAACATTAATGATCATTATGTAGTGTATCCTTTTTAACTTTTCATAATTAATTATTAATTAAAGATCTAACGACAGTTAATATTTATTGACCACATCTTAATTAAATAAAAAAAACTGACAAATTCTTATATTTTTTGAATTCAGTAAGTAAAAGTATATAAAACTTAAATGAAAGTTATCAATCTTGTAGTTTACCCTAAATTTTATTCATTGATCGATTAATTGTATTTAATTAATAATTAATTATTAAACAATTTGACTAATATAACTTAATTCATAATAATATTATTTAAAATTGAATATATTATGGCACTAAAATAATTATTAAGTATAAGATTTGTATATAAAAAAACTGGAACCTAGTTATGGAATCTTCCAAACTCGTAATCCCATAACTCCTCCGCCTCCGGTAAAGCATTTACTGAGGGAATTTACGGGAAAAAGGGCTTGTAAAAATATAAAAATATATATAATAAAATAATGCGGGTATGGCTGATCTCAGCTACTTGAAGGAAGAGGAAGAGGGCACCAGATCTTGCAGCAAAAAGAAGGTTCCCCTGACTAAAAGAAGCCCAATTCTTCTTTCTCTTAATAAAGATCCCATTTTTTTTTAATCTTTTCTTTGTGGTGTTTTGCCAAGGGTCGAAAGCAGAAACAAACTCATCTCCCCCCTCCCCCTTGATGAATTTTGAAAAAGAAGAAAGATCTTCGACCCTGAAAAATCCACCATGACACCACCTTATCATGTCATCTTCTTTTTCATTTTACTCTCGTTTCCTTCATCAACATCATCTGTAATTCAGGATTTTATCATTCATAGAAGAATTCTACACCAACCATTGTTTCCAGCTGGTACAGCCCCACCTCCAGGTACTGACAATTCTATACCTCCACCGTCTCCTCCGTCGCCCGACGCTCCTGTTTTCCCAGACCCAAGTCAACCATTCTTCCCTGAAGTTCCATCGGACCAACACTCCCCAGATCAGAATCAACAGATTGCACCACCGGCTGCACCTACCAATGGCTCAATCCCAATTCCTGCCGCAACACAACCCGCCAAACCAGCTAAAAAGGTTGCAATCGCAATCTCAGTTGGAATTGTCACTCTGGGAATGTTATCCGGACTTGCTTTCTTTTTGTACCGTCACAGGGCTAAACACCCTGGAGAAACTCAAAAGCTCGTCGGAGGCAACTCGGAGAGGTTCCAGGAAGATTCCAGAGTGCCACCTTCGAGTTTTCTTTACATTGGAACTGTGGAGCCGAGCAGTAGATCGGTGACTGAAGCTAATGGTGGAGCCAATGGTTCACCTTATCATAAATTGAATCCGGGTAAGAGATCTGATCGTTATCGGCCGAGTCCGGAGTTGCAGCCATTGCCTCCATTGGCTAAGCCTCCTTCGCTCGAGAATGCTTCACCGACGGCAATGTCGTCTTCATCGTCGTCTTCGTATGAAGAGAGTCAGGGGACTGGTTTTTATACCCCACAGGGGTCCATTATTAGCAACGAAGACAGCTATTATACTCCAGTTGCGCGTTCGGTTAGTGGCAATTTGGTGACTCCGGCGAGGAATGAAATGAATGGGAATGCTAATTCTGGTCCTCGTTCCAAAAGGGCATCTCCGAAGACAAGGGTTTTAACTTCTTCACCGGAAATGAAGCATGTTATTATACCTTCAATAAAGCAGCAGCAGCCGCGGCGGCAGCAGCCTCCTTCTCCTCCTCCAGCGCCACCGTCTCTGCCTCTTCAACAATCAGAAGGGCTAGCAGCGGAGTTACATGAGACCCAAGAAGTTACTTATGCAAAAAGGGCTAAATTCTCCGCCCCACCTCCTCCTCCAAATAGGGTACTGCTTCGATCAATTACCAGCCATTCATCCCCACAAAGAACAAAAGCTCCAGCTCCTCCTCCAGTTCCTCCTCCTCCGCCACCTCCACCGCCCCCTCCGCCCCCAGCAGCAGCAGTAGGACCTTCAATACCAAAGACAGTAATGCATATGGAAACCAATGTGCCTCCAAAACCTTCCCAAGTGTTGAAAAAGCAAGAATCGTCGACCCCAAGTCCCAAAATAAGTGTAGGGAATGTGACTAGAAAATCCGTGGAAGAGGCTAATCATAAAGGTGCCAGTTCTTCAGAGAAGACAGATGGGGAAGACATGGATAGTGCAAAGCCCAAGTTAAAGGCCCTGCACTGGGACAAAGTACGAGCAACCTCGGAGAGAGCTACAGTGTGGGACCAGTTAAAATCAAGCTCGTTTCAGTGAGTGATAAAAAAAACTCGTACAAAGTACATACCGAGGATACTAAGCTTTCAGAACACAACTTCTAAATTGCTTGCCTTTGTTTGCAGATTGAATGAGGATATGATGGAGACCCTTTTTGGCTGCAATTCCACAAATTCAGCACCCAAAGAACCTATTAGAAGATCGGTTCTGCCTCCTGTTGAACTGGAAAACAGAGTGTTGAATCCAAAGAAGTCACAGAATATTGCCATACTGTTGAGAGCACTGAGTGTAACTCGAGACGAGGTGTCGGAAGCTCTTTTGGATGGTAAGTCATTAGTATCATCAATCTTTTTCCATTTTCTATCAATAATCAGGTCCTTGAATCTTAGATATACAATAGGATTTAAGAGCATACAATTTGTTGGTTTTCACTTATCCCAAAGAAACATTATCAATTGGCAGTTCGTTGCTTTTGATCTAATACTAGAGTAAATTATTGTAAACCGACTTTTAGCTATCTGGTATAATTTGTTTTTAGGTTCTTGATCTCGATGCTTTCAACTTTCCAAGCCTTTTAAAATGATTTTGCATATCAAACCTTTGCTAACATAAATACATTACCTCATAGATAGCTGAGATTTGCCACTGAAGTAGCAACTAGCTTAACTCATTTTGAAGTAAGCTGCTTAGGTAGAAATATATAGATAAATACATCACATGTTGCATTAACAGGTAACCCGGAAAGCTTAGGTGCTGAGCTGTTGGAGACTTTGGTAAAGATGGCTCCAACAAAGGAGGAAGAAATAAAACTTGTAGAGTACAGTGGAGACATCTCGAAACTAGGTTCTGCAGAAAGATTTCTCAAGACCGTACTCGATATCCCCTTTGCCTTCAAAAGAATTGAAGCCATGCTCTATAGAGCGAACTTTGATGCAGAAGTAAAGTACTTGAGGAAGTCTTTTCAAACCCTTGAGGTATTAAAATTCATAAGGCTCAATGCTCGGTGCGACTTAAACATCCCATGACTCTAACATGAAAAAAGTTCTAAAAACTTTCTGGTAAATGCTCCTATAAATTCATTTGTCTCTATGTGGTTTCAGGAAGCAAGTGAGGAATTGAAGAATAGCAGGCTATTTCTCAAACTCCTAGAGGCTGTTCTGAGGACAGGAAACCGGATGAATGATGGCACCAATCGCGGTGATGCTAAAGCTTTTAAACTTGATACCCTTTTGAAACTTGTTGATATAAAGGGAACGGATGGGAAAACGACACTACTGCACTTTGTTGTTCAGGAGATCATTAGATCCGAAGGTGCTGGTACTAACTCTACGAATGGGAATCCCGAAAACAAATGCCGTCAAGCATTAAGGAGGATGATTTCAGGAAGCAAGGATTACAGGTTGTGGCTGGCTTGAGCAGAGACCTCGGTAATGTCAAGAAGGCAGCAGGAATGGACTCAGATGTCCTAAGCAGTTACGTGTCGAAGCTTGAAATGGGGCTTGAGAAGGTCAGGCTGGTTTTACAATATGAGAAGGCAGATATGCAGGGGAATTTCTTCAACTCGATGAGGATGTTTCTAAAAGAGTCTGAAGAGGAGATATCTAAGATCAAAACCGATGAAAGAAAAGCCTTACTGCAAGTGAAAGAAGTTACTGAATATTTTCATGGGAATGCAGCAAAGGAAGAAGCTCATCCTTTCAGAATCTTCATGATCGTGAGAGATTTCCTGTCGATATTGGATCATGTCTGCAAGGAAGTGGGGCAAATGCAGGATAGAACAATGGTGGGTTCTGCTCGATCCTTTCGGATATCCGCAACTGCCTCACTACCTGTTCTTAGCAGGTATAATGTGAGACAAGATGGAAGTTCAGATGACGAAAACTTGTCACCATGAAGCTATGTGAATACAGGTAAGAAATATCAAATTCGCTCATACTCCAGCTGAACCAACAGCAGAAATGTCTCATTTACCATTACAAAGCATGCAAAAGGTATATAATAAAGAAAAATGAAAAGCATAGCATGGCAACTCGATCTTCAGTTCACACGGAGACTTAGCTGTTGTTGGGTGGAGAGTTATGCCCTCTTCATGTTGTGTAATAATAAGGGTAGGTTGCAAGAAAAGTGAAGGGTACCATCATCTAAATCGGACAATAAAATGGATGACGGAATGAAGAACAAGCCGGGCCAAGGTAACAAACAAGCCAAATATTTTTCTGTCTACTTCAACACACATGCAATGGTCAAGACTCGAATTTCTTTACTTAGATCAGTTACTGTAAATTTTTTAGTTAAAAGAAAGTTTTTTTATATGCAATGAAAGATTTTGGATATGTTACCATAACAAGGTTTGCATGTGGAGTTGAGTAATGGCAGCGCTTCGCCTCATTGTGAAAAGGAACAAAACAAAGTTTATATTGATTGCCTAAATTGCCGTATTCGTTTTTTTTTTCACTTGTGATGAAAGACAAACTTTACGTTAATATGAGATTTTTCCGTGGAGAGAATGTTTGTCACATGCTGTACCTCGTTATGGGCCAGGAAGCATATGTTCCACAGGGCAAGTGTCCAACTTGTCCGAATTTATTTCATCCACTACAACTCAATTTGATTTTATTGTTGAGTTTTTTTTTCTTAATAAGGTAATTTAAATTTCTTAAAATAAGGTGCATTTAAATAATATTTTGATTTAATTCAATGCCATGTCGGCATTATGTTCCATGTCATTGTCTTATCCCTTTAAACCACATCTGTTCGGATGTGCCCATCAAGGCTTCAGCTGTACAGTAAATTGGTCCAATAAGACCCGTTACTCAGTTATGGGTTTCATTAAAACTGCGCTGCCGTGATAAATATGTCCCAAAATATTAGGGTAAACTATGTTCTGGGTTACTCAATTTTACTTTAGTCTTCCAATTTCAAAAACTTTTCATTTTACCACTTAAAATTTGAATTTTTTTCTTTTTGGTCACCTAGCCGTTAAATGTCTAATGTCGTTTGATATTTTTGGATAACTTATGAAAAGGACCCTTAAAACTTTTCTTTCAAATCCAGATTTTTGGACTCCCATTGATTCATCGACACCAAAAGTAGTTTCTTTCATATCAGAACTATAAAGAAGTCGATAATGAGGAAAAAATGTCACAAACTAGTGATGAAAACTATAAGAATTAAGGATTTTAGAAAAGAAAGAAGATTGAAGAAGAAAAATTTCATTCAAAATATCATCATAAGTTCTCGATTACAATTCTAATGGATATATGCACTAACAACTTCCAGTTATTTGTTTACAAGTGTCAATGCCTTTGTCTGGTAGCATAACCGTTTACTTATTGGTTGGATTCCTTCCAACAACATTCTTTGTGGGCTTTATGGGTGGGTTGTCTTTTAGTCTGGATCCTTCAGCTGCTTCACTAATATGGATCTCTCCTCTGGGCTGCTCCAATATAGTTTCCCCGTTAGGTAATTTCTTATCTCCCATTTTCTTTTCCTTTTAAATCCCTAACTTCTTATCTCTCAAATTCTCCAATTCAGTGAGCCCTAATTCTGTTTCTTCCCGAAACTTCCTCTCCCTTTCTCCTTCTGCCATGACAATACCCTATTCAGACGATCCTTGTCCCCAATGATCAAATTTTGGAGAATTGTATAGTATTCCCACGTTGCGTCTTCCTTCCTTAAATCCGTCCATTGAATAAGGAGTTGTGTAACTGCCTGATTATTTCGTTTCACTATCCGTTTGGCTAATACACCGATTAGATATACCTTTAAGTGTCTTCAGTATCAATCTCCGTGAGGGTCGAGTGAGGTAATCGTTTGTTCACCTACCTTCTTCTTTAAGAGACTGACATGAAAAACTCGATTGATCGGGTAATTTTAGTTTATAAGCTACAAATCTCACTCGTTGAATCACTATGTAGGGACCAAAAAATCGAGTAGCCAATTTTAGGTTCTTTTGAAGTGCCAAGGATGTTTGCTGATACGGCTGAAGCTTAAGGTAAACACTGTAACAACCCAACCCATACCCGACCCGAATACGAGTCTGAAGTGTCATATTGATTTTTCAAACTTTGACTCTTTTGAAAAACATAGAAATTTAAAACTTTGTTTAAAACAAAATTAGTTAATTTACATAAAAATGATCACAAAATACAAACTCGATCAGAGTACTCGTAATTAACGACTTATTACATGCCAACACTTTTATATACAACAAAATACCTACTTTGTCGATTACTTCTAATCTGATCTCTTAGTAGTAATGATACTGTCTTTGCCACTTCTATTCTTGTTCTTCTCGTCTCTTGGTACCTACGTGTAAATCACTTACACGCTAAGTCATAGACTTAGTGATGCAATAAATAAACATGTAACAGTAGATTCATGAATATGCATTCTTACCAGTTGATCATGATATTTCAATATACATGGATATATTTCCTATGACATAAATAACCAAGTCATGCACACATGAAGCCTACCTTTTTGCATCACTTTCACTTTAATTTATATTTCAATTGTTGTTGTTGTTGCCCATTTATATTATTGAGAATAGAGGTATGTGAGTACATTGAGGTTGTGCACTAATGTTGTCACCACAGCTCGTATAAATTCCCTCATGGGGCACCGAACATTTGTTCAGTATTCGTCCCGAAGGACTGCTATATATGTCCCGTAGGACCACTACGTCCCATAGGACCACTACGTCCCGAAGGACTACGTCCCGAAGGACTACGTCCCGAAGGACTACAATACCCTCGACTCTTGGTATGCCAACTATACCTATAGCTCTCATATCATATATTATGGGCATTTATTATGAATATATTTCTCATCACTTGTTCTTTCTCTTCTGTCACATACCACATGTATGTGTAACCATGTATTTCATATCATATCACATGTATCACGTATTGCATATTCATATGTCATTTCATATTTCACATAGCTTATTTCATTTCACATTGGTCATATCTCATAGCATATATCACATATGCATATAATCATGTATATCATATCATATATCTTATGTTTCAGGCTCTTATGTTTATGCACATCATGTATTCATGTACATATAAGAATCACATATCAAATAACATTTTAGGAGTCACTTCTTACCATAGTAACTCCATCATTGGCTCATCGCAAACCAATGTTCGTTCAATAATATAAGTACAATTAAAATTGCACTCACCGTAGCCTTGTTTGATTTGAATAAATTATAATCCTTTGATTATTCCAGAACTTGTTTAGGCTCAATATCTACATAAATATAACATTTCAAAACAACTATCAGAAGCCTAAACCTTAACCTTGATGTTAACAACTTAAGCCAGATTATTGAACCAAATTTCATTTTTCCTTTTGGGGGAATCGATACCCCCTGAACATACTGGAAATTTTTCCGTTCAAGAAGGGGAATCGATTTCCCTTAATAGGTATCGGTTCCCTCTGCCCATAAATTGTACTTTAAGCCCGAAAATCATCAATTCTTCACTCAATTCTTCTATTTTGAACCCCTATCATATCATTAAACTCAACTAGCATTACTTAAACCAACTTATATCCATGAAAATCATCTATAACTTAAAAATTCTATCCCTCATATGTAATTCAAGAATCATACTCAAATTTCAATATGTTCTAAATACAATTCTAACACTTCATATTCCTTAATTATCATGATGACAAGTCAAATTTCACTTCAAATTCAACTTATCAACTCTTTTCCATGATTTCATATAAAAACTTGTTTTCTTAAATCTCTTATAACTTCTTCATCTTTTGAGTATAAGACAACTTAAGTTTTCCTTAAGCTTAATTATCATCTAATGATCAAAACCTAACCTTTAATTTAACAAATAATCAACAACTCAGAAAACACTTACCTTTGCCTAGTTTCCACGGTTGGGAGAAGAAGAAAGGAAGAAGAAAGAGTTTTCAGATAACTCTTTCCCCCACCCCCCACGTGATTCATTCATATTATTGGGGAAAAATATCTTTCATGCTAAATGACCATTTTGCCCTTTAATTCTTTGGATAATTACTATAAACTTTTAGGAAATATTTCCGAACAAATCATTGAACTATTCAATCATCTTACTTTAATCACCAAATTTTGAAACTTTACAATTTAATCACTAACCCGTATTTTGGGATGTTACAAATCTCTCCCCCTTAAGAAAATTCGTCCTCGAATTTTCACTGTACAAATATATGGGAACTGTCTACTTATATCATATTTGCACTTCCATATTATACTACAGTTCCACCTCTTTTAAAGATCCATAAGGTCTAATGAATGTATGGCTGAGCTATACTATACAGAGAATCTTATTCGGAACAAGACATTAATAAATACTTTATCACTTATCTAGAAATTCCATTTTTTTTCTTTAAATATATATATAGAACTTCTGTTAACTATCCACTATCTTATTTTTTTTCACTTTTCTTCAACTTCTTTGATCCAATCCGTCCATACAAAATCTCAATATTTCTATTCAACTAACTTAATAGTTTCCAGCATTTATTTTACACAATGTCACAAAAAAAACTGTTTTGATATCTTTCTTTACTTGCAAACCTACTACTCATTAAACAAACTCAATAATAACTCTTCCTATGACAACATTATCTAACTTTAAATCTTTAACTTTCCCTTCATGGTTGCAATTAGTAAACTTATTTTCAATCAACAAGGAATTACATTCATTTCCATCTTTTCACTCATTCGATTCTACACCTTTTAATCTTTATAAATTCGTATAAATATAATGTCGCTCATCATGGAAATAATAAGGTTCCATCCATACAGTAATCTCAATCCTTATCACTCAACATCATGAGTCCGTTGATTTCTTTCATCCATCTCTAATGACTTACAACATAAACCAAACATTTATTCTTATACCATCTTCATCCAAATTATTATACACCTTTCTTTCTAAATTTTACTCATATCAATCTTGAAATTGATGTCAATACTCTCTTTTTTTTCATCTCAAAAGTAACATACTTATCTTTAACAACTTGATTAGAGAGAATACTATCATTCAAATATATCTCAAGTTTCCTTCATACATATATATAAATCCTTATCTCTTTTACTATATTTACATGGCTAAGAAACACAACCTTAAACCAATACATGTTACACTTGGTTAACTTAGTCTGACATTCTTTTTCCGATCTTTTAAACTCTATTATAAGCTCCCCTTTGCATAATTAATTTTTTTTCTAATACGATACTTTAAGAAAACTTTATCGTCTTCATAAAATTTAATTTATTTTTGTCTCAAGTCTGCCTAATACTTCTGTCGATTAGATGTCATCTTGAAATTAT